GAGGCACCAGACCCGCCCTGCCCCCAGGTGCTGGGGCTGCACTCTCATGGCACCGGGCTGGATCACCACCCACTGCCCACTTGGCGCCTCCTGGCCATGCTTGGGGGCCTCTACGCCTTCTTCCTGTTCGAGAGCCTCTTCAACCTCTTGCTGCCCCGGGACCCCAAGGTCAGGCGGGCGTGGACTCGGGGTGTGGGGAGAGAGGTGGCCGGGGCTGAGCGCTTTCCCCTCAGGACGCACAGGAGGGGTCCGGCAGCCACGGCGGCCACAGCCACGGCGTGTCCCTGCAGCTCTCGCCCAGCGCCCTCTGGGACTCCAAGCAGCCCCCCAAAGGCTCCAGGACAGACCTGGTGAGCCGGCATCCCAGGCCCGTGCCCCAGGGAGCCCACTCCAGGCTTCTCCTCCTGGCCTCCAGCTGGCCCGGGCCGGCCCTGGCCCTGCTCACCTGCGGCCAACCCTGCCCCCAGGTGTCTGAGGAGGCTCCGGAGCCGCCAAGCCCCGAGCCCGGGAGGAAGCTGAGCCCGGGTGAGTGGAGGGAGGCGGCAAGGCCCGGAGCCGGGGGCTCGGGGTGGGCTGGGGGCCCGCCGCTGGGCAGCTGGCAGACGGCCCTGGCCGAGGCCGAGGCCGAGGCCAACCCGCCCTCCCCGCGGCCAGAGCTGAGGCTGCTGCCCTACATGGTCACCCTCGGCGACGCGGTGCACAACTTCGCGGACGGCCTGGCGGTGGGCGCCGCCTTCACCTCCTCCTGGAAGACCGGGCTGGCCACCTCGCTGGCGGTGTTCTGCCACGAGGTGCCCCACGAGATGGGTGAGCGGAGCCGGCCGGCGGGCGGGAGGGCGGGAGGGCGGCGCGTGGGCGTGGCCGCGGCTGACCCCGCCCCCTAGGGGACTTCGCGGCCCTGCTTCACTGCGGGCTGTCCGTGCGCCGGGCGCTGCTGCTCAACCTGGCCTCTGCGCTCACGGCCTTCGGCGGCCTCTACCTGGCACTCCTGGTCGGCGTGGACGAGGACAAGGAGGCCTGGATCCTGGCGGTGGCCACTGGCCTCTTCCTCTATGTGGCGCTCTGCGACATGGTCAGAGCTGGTGGGGGAAGGAGGGGCGGTCGGGCCGGGAAGCCGGACACTGACCTGGTGCCCACGCCCCTCAGCTCCCCGCCATGCTGAGCGTGCGGGACCGGCGCCCCTGGCTCCTCTTCCTGCTGCACAACGTGGGCCTGCTGGGCGGCTGGGCCCTGCTGCTGCTGCTGTCCCTGTACGAGGACAACATCACCTTCTCATAGCACCATGCTTGGCTCCTCCTCCTGCACCCTCCGCGAGAGGCCTGGAGCCTTCCACACTGGGGGCGCCCGCTGTCTGTGCCCCAGCACCCTACTTGAATAAAGATGCTTGGCTTCAGCACCTGCCTGTGCTCCTGGCCGGGAGGGAAGGGCTGGCACCGAGCTGCCTCCTGCCACGACGGCAGATGTGCCTCCTCCTAGGGCACCCCGGCGAGCTAGGACAGCTGTACCCGGACCTCAGGCGGCCAGCCCCAGTGGGCAGAGGCTGGGAGCAAAACCTGAGCAGCCGGCCAGGGCCAGTGCTGTGGGCAGCAGGTGGCCATGGCTGGGACCGGACGTGGTCCTCACAGTGGGAAGGCGGGTGGAGCCCGGCAGAGGGGGCCTGGCTACTGCACCAGGTGGGCAGAGGGCCCTGGGTTCCGCTAGGCCTGACCTCGGTTCCCCTAACCTCAGCAGAGGGTCCATGCTGAGCCCCCAAGTCTCCTGGGTCTGAGCGCCGGCCAGCAAGAGTTCTGGAGGGGAGCCCGAGGTTCACCTCAGGGGCCAGCTTGTCCTCGGGGTGGGGGAGCCTGTTGCGGCTCTCATGCTCTCGTGTCCTGGCGTGACAGGGTGGCGCCATCTGTCTTCTCTTGACCTCGCTGTCCCTGTGTCCCCTGTCCCGGCGCCCTGCGCTGGCCCTGCCTGCTGCGGCACGGCCCGGTCTCCATTCCGTCACGACCGTGGCTCCCAAGGCTGCTCGCGTGAGGCCTCTGCTGGGCAGCGAGTGGAAGGACCCACTGCCCCCGGAGCCGGCTGCTCACTCCCGCCCACCCCCCCGGAGCCCGCTGGTCCTGGCGACCCTACCTCGTGGCGGGCCTGGCGCTGGGGTCCGGAGCCAGCACGTGGTGGGGCAGGACCCCCGTTTCTAAAGGAGCCACAGGGGGCGGCTTTGGGGGAGCCGGGAACACACATCTATGCCTTTTCCTAACGCTTCTAACTTCTCGAGTAGAGGAGAGCGGGGGAGCCGCGCGCAGCGGCGGCCCAGGGTAAGGTCAGCCACCCTGTTCGTTTGTTGGGGCCGATCCGACTTCAGGGGCTCTTTGCCAAGCCCCAGCACCTGCGGCCAGGGCCCTCCTGGCGGGCAGGGCAGCGGCAGGTGTCTGTGGAGCCGGAAGGAGGGGCGGTGCAGGGGTGGAGGGCGCCAGCCCCCGCCT